CACCACGCCAGCACCTTGGGGCCTGCCCGGGGACCCAAGGCATGGAGAAGGGGACCAGACCCCCCTCCCACAACCAGGCACACAGCCAGTGCCAAGGAGCATGCCAAAAACATCACCTCCATGTGGGCGGCCCACCACAGCCATCACAATAACCATGGCTGCCGCCAAAGCAGCTAGACACTACAACTACCACACAGATGGTCTGCCAACCACTGGAGTGCACTGACACAAGGAAAGTCACCAGCAGAGATTAAGAAGAGGATGGGCTCTCTCCACAAAGCCCATTCCAGAGTGACAGAAAAAGCATCTGCTCTATGATAATATTGGGGGACCTGATCACACCTCTCAGCATTGGACAGATCATCTAGGCAACAAATTAACAGAGTAACCATTACTCTGTCAGAAAGAGAGAAGAAATCTAGGGTAATTAGACAGGGGAGGGGGTGCGGGATAGGGAGAGATTGGACAAGGGGCATAAAGAATTATTATGATTTGTAACAATATATATGCTAGTGCTAGTAATACTGATTTGATCAACATATCTCAATGTTGAACCCCAAAAATATGTATAATCAATTTTGATTCAATAAATATATTAAAAATAAATAAATAAATAAATAAAGATTGAAAGCTTGGAATATTCAACAAGAAAAGACCCACACCAACATAAATTATCATAAAATTACAGAACACATAAAAAGACAACTCCAGGGCTGGCCAGGTAGCTCTGTTAGTTAGAGCTGGTGCTGTTAACACTGAGCCTCCAGGGTTCCATCCCTCTACTTAGCCAGCTGCCAAAAAAAAAGACAATTCCAAAAGTTTCTGGAAGAGGAATAAAACCACTGGACATACATGAAGGATGAGAAATGAAAACAGCACATAACTTCCCTTGATAGCAACAATGGAAGGAATAGGGCAAAGCCCTGATAATTCTGACAGAAAATAATTTTTCCAACAGAATCTTATTCAACTAAAGGATTGAGCATGAGAACAGAATAAAAATGTCAACAGAAGATCTCAAAAGCTATCTTCTATATGCATTTTTGAAAAGTTATTACAAACAATTTCAAACATACACAATAGTAGAAAATATAAATGAATCAACATACACCCCACTTGTGGCTTTAACAATCAACTCATTCACTGTCTACTCTTGAAACATCTTAAATATGCATATGCTTCACCTAGGCAAAAGCACACACTGAAAAATTCTTACTAGTCAATTATACCTCAGTAAAGCTCAAAAAAAATTTTTTTAAGTGTATGGAAAGATCCATAATATCTTTTAATTCTATTTTTCCACAAACTTTCTGAAGTACCCTTGTATCAGTACCACCATTCTCTATACATATCAGTATGATTAAAGTATGTCATAAAAGTGGAAATATTGCAACCTTTGGTAAACTAGTAAAGATGGAGAATAACACTAAGGAAAAATACATGAAAAAAATTTTACCATATAACAGTATTTTCTATCCAACGTCCTTAGGCATATACAAATTATTACTTTGGTAACCAATTAAATCACAACATAATTATAGTTAAAGCTAAGTTATTTTCAGAATAGAAACCCCTAACATGTTGAAGAAAATAATGAGAATATAAAAATTTAATTTTTAAATTCTTATCGATCACTCACCCTCTATGTCAAAGATGTCATCAGGTATTGGGGGTTGTGGCAGACACTGGAAGTTGCCTACCCAATCTATTCATCACTGTGGCAGTTTTTAAAACATGGCCACAAATTCCTCAACACTCCTCCCGTCAAGCACAGGGCTCCCTCCCTTGAACCTTGGTAGGCCTTTGTGACTGCCTCAGGGTATTCCAAGGCTAGGACAGTATAAGCCACACAGCTGCACCCCTTTCTCTTGGGACACTCTGGAAGCTCCCAAGTAAGAAGTCCAGCTACCCAAAGGCCCCCATAAGAAGAGATACAACCTAGGAGGCCCAGCTTTTAAAGTCCCCAGCTATTTAAGTCCTACCAGCCCAGGAGATGGCCCCTACCTAAGGGCATAGCTGAGACACAATAACAACTCTGGAATGCCTATCTGGGCTTTTTGTTGCAAAGAGACAAATAAGCTCCTTTTGGGGTACGTTTTCTTTTATTTGCAAATGAGCACATTTTTAATTCATACAGGGATTTAACAGCAACACAGCATTTGTCTATGTTACCAGGAAGAATGATTAAGACAATTTTATAAATAATACTGATCAAGGTGTCAGCAAAATAGGGTATACACTGTGATATTGTGAAATACATGTAGTTAGTTGATCTTTCCTCCTGACTTACAGCTCCTAAAACCCTTGGAATCATAAGAGTGCATTTTGTATGCTAATGAGAAAACTGGTTGCTGGGGTGCCCTAGGTAGCTTCAGGATAAGGGTTGGTCACAAGAAAGAGCAAGGCAGAACTAAAGAATTGGGACTTTCAGCCTCATCACCTGGCCTCCAGGGAGGGGAGAGTGGCTGAAGGTTGAATTGATCGCCAGTGGCCAATGATTTAATCAATTATGCCTATATAATGAAGCCTCCACGAAAACCTAAAAGGACAAGGTTCAGAAGAGCTTCCAAATAGCTAAACACTATCTGGAGGTTTGTAGAGGGCAGCACACCTAGAGAGGGCATGGAAACTCTATACCCCTTCTTCCATACCCCGCCCTATGCATATCTTCCATCTGGCTGTTCATTTCTATCCTTTGTAATATTTATAATAAACCAGTAAACCTAAGTGAAGTGTTTCCCTGAGTTCTAAGAGCCACTCTAACAAGTTAATCAAACCCAGGGATTCATGGGCACCCAATTCATAGCTGGTCAGTCAGCAGTTCCAGAGGCCCAGACTTGCAACTGGCATCTGAAGGGGGAGGAAAGGGCATCTTCAGGAATGAGCCCTCAACCTGTGGGATCTGAGGCTACCACCAGGTAAACAGTATCAGAATTGAATTGAATTGGAAGACACCAAGGTTGGTGTTCATTGCAGAGCTGCTTGGTTGCTGGTGGGGAAAACCCCCACCCAGATATCTGGGTGACCAGAGGTGCTATGTTGCATTGCCTATCTAAAAGAATGGGGGGGAAAGCACTTTAGTTTTGTTTTTCCCTCCCTATCTCTTTAACTGCACAACAGTGAAAAAGAAGAAACAACCCCACAGTCTCTTATGCTAAAAAATCTAACAAGTAGCCAATTAGAATTTATAGAGTACCTACTATGTTTTAGCCCTAGGCCATATGCTACAAAAAATATCAAGGAATAAGAAAATACAAGATCAAAGAACCTGTCAGGATTAATAATCTCCCTCTTAAAAAAAAAAAACTCTTGATTTATTTAGCTCATCCAGTTACTTATACCATACTACACAACACTTTGATCAGCCAGCTTTCCTAATAAGAGGATAACTTCCAATTCAATAAGGAAAACAGGAGTGCTGAATTTGAATGGGACGCATTAAAAACTTTGAAAAATCGGGCCGGCCCGGTGGCGCACTGGATAAGTGCACCGCTTGGGAGCGTGGTGGCACTCCCGCCCGAGGGTTCGGATCCCACATACAGACCGGTTCCCGCTCACTGGCTGAGCGAGGCACGGGGGCAATGCCGAGGGTTGCGATCCCGTTGCCGGACACGGAAAAAAGACAAAAGACAAAAAAAAAAAAAAAAAAAAA